GCTAGACTTTATGCTTTATGTATTTATATTGTATAAAATATTAAAATTTATATATTCATATTATACTTTAAATAAAAATCATGTACATAAATTTTGTCAACATAAAAATATAAAATATATAATTTTAATTTTGAAACACATATATAATTATTACTTAAATTTTAAACCATATCACTTCATTTTTATTTTCATATTGAATTCATATTATGTTATAATATCATATTTTAGATTATCAGATCTATATACTAAATTGATATAAAATTTTGTTAAAAGATTTCAAGACTGATTTTAGTAACAATCCAAGAATGAAAATGATTGTTTTTAATTCTCTCTCTCTCTCTCTCTTTTTTTTTTTTTTTTTTAATCTTTCTCTTAACATTAGAAATGGAAAACATATTTTTATTTATTCTTTTAATTAATTTAAACCTTTTAAGTAAAATTTCAACTCAACCAATTGGGAATTTGATATGATGCAATGCCACCGAATTACCATTATTTGCCATGTGAATTACCGTTAGCAAGTTTGTTTGGAAATTAATATTAGAACTATCAATATCTGATAACAAAGGATTGAAATAATAACTTTTAAATATTTAGGACTGAAAATTAAAAACAGGTAAACGTTTAGAGTTAGAAGTGTAATTATCTTTATATATATATATACATAACGTGCCATGTAAGTCACATGTTCACCGTTAGTTCCATGTGTGCATTCCTTTAGCAGAGCTGTTTGGTACTTAACATTGGACTATTTATACAACCACTTGATAAAGTTTATAACTGAAATAGTAATTTTCAATCTGGCCAAAAAAAAGAAATAGTAATTTTCAACCGTTTAGGATTGAAATGAAAAATACGTATTTAAGACCAAAAGTGCAATTACCCCTATAACTACCTGCATCTTGATTCTTGAAGCAATTTATTCTTGTATGACCCATGAATAAATTCATAAATTCATTTTTCATTTTCTAAACACAAAACACAATATCAAACATTTTTTCATTTTTTAAAAATAATTTTTTATTTTTATTTAACAAACACATTTTCAATAAAATAAAAAATGAAAATTATTTATATTAAAAAAAATTAAAATTTTTTTTCTATAACCAATCACAGCCCTACTTTGCAAATGAGATATTTTCAATGGTATATGGTCCCCCATATTAAGGTGGTACTTCATTGGGTTTTTTTCAGCATATTTTATTTATTTCATCAAAATAGTTTAAACTTGACTTCTTGAAAAAAAAAAAAAAGGGATAAAGTCCAAATTTACCTTTTTGTTAAGGATGATGATTAAATTTATTACTGATCTTTAAGAGGTGTAATTTTATCACTATAATTTCTAATAGTTCAAAAATAATTAAAAATTAAAATATTTCATTTATTTTCTCGTTAAATATTCATTTGCTATTAATTTTTAACTAAACATTTCCACAAATGTTAACCAATCAAGTAGAACTCAACTGACCTCTCTAAAATTCCAGTTGGAGCTCAATCAATCCATTTTAGTTAGTTTTATTATTACAAAATTAATACTATTATATTTTAAATATATTATTAATAAAAAAATGTTTTAAAATTGGACTTGAGCCTAAAAAAATTCATATCCGAAACCCAAAATCAGTCGAGCCAAGACAATGAAATTAGCTTGGCTTGTAAACACCTATATTTTTTTTTTCAATTTTTGAAACAAATTAAAAAATTAAAAATATAAGTATAAAACTACATTTGCTAAAAAATGAGTACGCAATTAATGGAACATTACCTTAAATAAAAAAAAAGAGTGACAAATCTGAATTTTATCGCAATTTTATAATAAATGAATTAAATATAAAAATAATCTTTGTACTATATATTTTATTAATTTATTAGTAAAAAAATAAAATTTGCATTTAGGTATCAAAATTTTTATTCTATTAAACATTTTGATATTATAAACTTATATCGTTAGTTAAATTATTTACGTAGCATTAATATTAAGTAAAATTATGATATGTGACATAAATATTTAGTTATCGTCACTTTATTCATTTGCCATATTAACATTTAAATAAAAATTTTAAAAAATTTTAAAAAATATATTTTTAATTCAAAATTAAAAAAACATAAATGAAAAAGGAAAAAGAAAAGAATCAAGGAGAGAAAAAAAGGGATAAGGAATAAGGGGGAGAGAGAGAAAGAGCAGAGCGAGGGTGAGGGAAAGGGGAAGGGTGTGGTAATAATTAATGAGATGATAACTAAACATTTATGATAAGTGATATGATTTTATTAGATATTTATGTTACATCAACTATTTAAAATGGAATTCAAAATATATCCACATTTTTTCTTTATACATCAATTTTTTTTCAAATTTTTTGTAGGTAAAACTACTAAAATATCTTTCTCACAAATTTTATAAGTTTTGAAAATCTATTTCTACAAAGTCATAACACCTTTTTAAAATGCATTTTTGAGAAGTCATAACATTTATCGAAAATGCATTTTCGTGAAAAGTGAAAATTTTATGAAAAATTATAATAAAAGAGATTTTATTAAAATTATTTTGTAAATAAGTGTAATAAAAAAATTATTATTAAAAAATTATAAATTTTAAAATTAATAAAGAAAAATTACTTTTACTATTTTCATTTTAAAGAAAAAATAATATTTTATAAGACCCTAATTAAATTAGAGATAAAATAGTAAATATAATTTTTTGTAAATTTAAAATTTATTATTTTTTGTATCGATTATTAAAATTTTATAATAATTTTAATTAAACTAAACTTTTTATGAATGTCTTTTCATCTACTTATCATGATAAATTTCCCTAATTAGCATATTAAATTTTGATAAAATTATGTAATATTAAATAGTATTACTTATATTATCTCTTTATTCATAAGCATACAATACTGGTCAAGAAAATCTCTAACTTTGAGACAGTTCCAATTTTTCTAACATCATTTCCATCGATCCCCAAATTCATATGAGACCAAGGTCATGGCAATGGTGATTTTTTCCAATTTTTTCTACTTGTTGAAATGTCATAAAAAAGCCTTGTAAGTATATAATCATCATATTCAAAAACATCGACTAAGCTTCTAATTTAACTCGATCGATTATGCTCCTATCGACCAACGGCCTGAAGACCTTGCTGGCATTTTTAATGATCAAGTTTATCATTATTTTCATTAAGATTTTAGGGTTTCTAATTAGCTTAAAGATGAAGATGTCCCCTTTACACCTTTAAAATTAAAACAATAAAAATAATTTTTTTATTATACTAATACATAAATAATTTAAACAAAACTCTCTTTTTGTAATTTTTTATAAAATTTCACTTTTTCACATTTGGAATTATATTTTTGAGAAGTGTTATGACTTCTTAAAAATATATTTTCAAGAAGTATGATGATTTTTGGAAAATGGTGAATATCCAAAAGCTTAAAAAAAGTATTTAAATAATTTTTTTACAAAAATAAAAAATAAAGTTTACAAAAAAAAAAGGTACATTTAAAAGTTCTCCTATTTAAATAATGGTAACAATACGAAATATTAAAGTACTTGAGATTATAAAAACTGAAACATCTAAATGTGAATTTTATTTATTTATATATTAAATTGACATAAAATATATAATACAATAATTATTTTACATATAACCTTTATATATATGTATAAATACTTGAATCCTGATATTTCAGCTTATATATACGTATGTATTACTGTTCTTTCTTTTTCATGCATAGCTGGCTTCCAAATCAAAGCCTCTCCAACCACAAAGTGTAATCCAAAGTTTGCCATTGAAAAGATAGGTCCAAAAAGTATGTCACATCTCTGTCTCGATTTGTTCCATTACACGTCATGGCTCACATAAGCTAATTAACCACAAATATGTAACATATGCGTATAAATAAATACAATGTGTTCAGTTAAGGAAATTTATATATATTTTAGTTTTCAGATTTTGAAGACTTGATTATCAAATTAATGCAATTAGGCAGGGATGAGAAGAGAAAATTAAAAAATTAAAAAGTAATTTGAAATTATAATTTTTATTTGGTTTATATTGATTTCTTTATTCAAATTAAGTTTAGATAAAATTTTAAATTAAAAAATCAAAAATAAAAAAATCAAATCAAATTATATATTTTTATTAGTTTATATAGATTTTAAATTTTTATAAAATAAAAATATTTATTTTATATTTAAATTTATTTAAATTTATTAAAAATATATAAATAATATATAAAAAATTTAAATTTAAATACTGATGAATCAAACAGATAAAATTTGATTTAAATCAATTTTAAAAAAAAATCAATTTGAATTCAGAATAAATTTTAAAAATTTAAAATATTATGCATTATTTAAAAAAACGAACTAAATCCAATACAATCTAAAATTTTATCACTTTTAGAATTAAAAGAGAGCATGTTTAGATTGTTAAATTTTATATCTTGGACTTGTTTATTTTAAATAGAGTTGATTAATGAAATTATAAAAATTGATTCATGCAATAATTTTTAAAAAATTTAAAATTTAAATTTCAACATGCATAATTTATTTTTTTTTCCATATTAAGGTTTTCCTTGCAAAAGAAAATCTTAAACCGTACTTAGGACTATTTGTTTGGTAAGAAATGTCAAAGCTGATTGGTAAGCTTTTGTTATTTCAATTAGGAATTAACCAAGGGCTATTTGAAAAATGAGGAAATATGAAACAATAATAAAAAGGAAATAGAAAATTTTTAAAAGTCTAGTCTTATTATGGATTAGATTAATCGAATTAACTTTCACAACTAAAGTTTAAACGTTAATTTAAACAAGATGAAAGCTTTTTATATTTTACAATTTTTTTCATAATTATGTTCTAAAGAAATATAAATTACTAATGTTGACCATCTAGAAAGTTAGCGTCACACTTAAAATATTGGATACTAAAATTAGATGGTAACTTACCAAAAGGCACACCTTGTGATTGAAATTTTGATGAACACATGGGTAAGAACATCTACACTTGCTAATTATAAAAGGGATTGAGGGAGTTTAGTGTCACGTGATATATATATATATATCAACACCACCTGCAACATTTTATGATATCGATCACTTTGTTTCTTTTCCATTTCTATAAAAAGGAGGTTCTCTCAGACGACCGGGAGCCTCGATAAAAGGAAAAAGTAAACAAACAAATGGTGAAGAGTATGTTTAGCTCCAAGTATGTGGCATGTCTGGTTTCTTCTATAATTCTCAATGCGTTGTTTATTATCAATATTTTTGTTGGTGGTCAATGGAACCTGAGTTGGACCTCAAGAGCTGCAGCTGAAGCAGAAACTGTAGCAGCTATATCCTGTTCAGGGCATGGAAGAGCTTACTTGGATGGCTTGGTTGTTGATGGAAATGAACCAGTTTGCGAATGCAACACATGCTATGCAGGCTCTGACTGCTCTCAGTTTATTCCTGACTGCGCAGCAAATGCTGATGGGTACCTCTCTGCAACAGATGATTCTTTCCTGCTTGTTGGTCAAGTTTAAGCTTTGATGATTCATATTCCATTCCTAGATCTGCAAAGTAACAAGAAAAATTATGAACAGTTTTGATTGTTTTGAGTGTTTATAGTTGTAGTTTTATATTTTGATGTCTAACAGAAAGCTAGTGACTAACTTTAATCCCACCCTTCCCTAGATTCAGATCTTCTGTTTTCATTCTTTAGCCTCCCATGTTCAGATGGTACTCGAGTTTATTTCCAAAACAAAAAAAAAAAAAAGAAAAAAGAAAACCGCAGTGTTTTTCTTTATACACATAATCCCATCCCATAAACATCTGATATTGTCCATCGCGAGGTTCAAATTTAAGACGATAGAAATGAGATCTTAAGCTCTAAACTACTGGGATGATACTTTGGGGAACAAAAAGAAAGAGGGCAAAGATCTCTCAGGTTGAGATTTATTGTAGTCGTCGACTGGTTGCTGTGTCTATGATGAATTCGCCATTAATGCCAAAATTGTAAAAGTTCATCTATTATAAAGTTAGATGGAACTTCCCTGTCTCCACCACATATATAAACGGTAAATTTATTGAGAAGATATTCAACAACTAACCATAGCATTTTTTAAATATGATTATTTTGGTTTACCAGCTCATGAATTAAAGATAAAAGAGTGTTTAAAGTGGGGAAATCTGTCATTAGAAATCACTAGAATTTAACTCTGCAGTGGGAATTTCTTCTTTTTTTTTTTAACTTTACATCCACTTTGGACCACTTCTAACAAGTGCCTTTTATATAATTGGAGTCACGGATCATCTATATTTATAGAAGGATTCACATGTCAAACCAAACTTTGTAGGAGAGGCTTTTGCCTGGATGCTGATTGTGCCTGCCGCAGGAGCAAGTTCTGGCACTGATTTAGTTTCCTACACCATTAAACTATCAACAGCTTTCTTACATGATTTATTGATCACCATTTGATGTTAAAAGGCAATATCTACATTGTTGGGAACTTCTTGAGCATTTATTTCGCAGCTTCTCTTTAAAGCTCTCAGATTCATCAACTTTGATTTGCAGCAGAATCTTCTCTATGCTATAACAATTTCTATTTCATTGTTTAAATTCATTACTTACAACAAATTGCCTCTATATATTCCTTCATGATTAAACTTTCTATTTTCTTTGGATGTTAAACTATCTTCTAGCTCTTCATTCTCTTGTGTTGCTTGATCCGCAGTTGCACGTAATATACTAGGTGTGTCATCAACATTGACATATAAATCTATGCACAAGCATGATAATGTATATATTTTGAGTTCTATAATCAACCATAATGTTGTCTTATCAATCCCATCTTCAATACAAATCTTTGCATACATTGACACATTTTCATTTGCAGTGGGGATCCATTATTTTTGGAACCGTTCTGGATGCGGCATGTAGCTAGTAGTGCACTGGTAGAGGCTGGGTGGCATCGAATGAGCTATACATTTAATGATCATACCTTTATCTCAAAAGAGCTAGAAAGGATCATCCGCAAACTACACGCAATTGTAGGGAATGCAGTCACAGAAAACAGATTTATTATTTTTGGTGCAGGTTCAACCCAAGTCCTTAATGCTGCAGCTTATGCACTGTCCCTTGAAAATACCTCCTCATCTACAGGAATTGTAGCTTCAGTCCCTTACTACACGGTCTGTTTCAGTACCCATATTGTATTTTTAACTCATCTATTAATTGTTGTCATTGATTTGATACCAATTTGAATTTTGACAGCTCTACAAAGGTCAAGCAGAATATTTTAGTTCAGCAAAATTCAAGTTTCAAGGAGATGCTTATACATGGAGGAAGAAGTCAGATGCTATCACAAATATGATTGAGTTTGTAACATCACCAAACAATCCTGATGGACGATTAAACAAACAGATTCTTCATGGCCCTAATGTCAAAACAATTTATGATCGTGCATATTACTGGCCACATTTTACACCAATTCCAGCTCCTGCAGATGAAGATCTGATGGTATTTACACTTTCCAAGCTTACTGGTCATGCAGGCAGCAGATTTGGGTAAAAAGTCTGACCACTATTCTCTAGAAAACTTATCATTCTAATTTTTCATTAGTGCTATAGGCCTATAGGCGCTTTAACCAAACTCTTCATGTTGTTCAATTATACATTTTCAATAAAACTAGCTTAGCAACTAGATTAAAAAGAGTTGATATTCTACTGAGCAGAATTACAGCAATCACATTTTTGTGTTTTACACAGTTGGGCAGTGATAAAGGATGAAAATGTCTTTAACAGAATGACAGCACACATAAACATAAATTCAATGGGCGTTTCTATGGATAGTCAGTTAAGGGCCTTTAAGCTTTTGAAAGCAGTCTTAGAAGGAGAAGGAAAGGAAATATTTGACTTCGCATACCAGACAATGAAGGCCAGGTGGGAAAGATTGACAATGGCCTTATCCTCGTCAAAACGTTTCTCTCTTCAGAAAAATAATCCTCAATACTGCATTTTTTACAATAGAGTCAGAGAATTTTCACCAGGTACTTCTCTCAACCTCACTATAGGCTCAAAAATTTAATCTCTAATGTTGCACATATGTTATTTAATGTTTAGCTGGCCATTCAGTGTAGTCAGTTGAATTAGTTGTACAACAAAAACAGAGGTATTGGTATTGGATTTGAAAGTAAAGATGTGATAAAAGCTCTGATAGAATAGCAATGAGTACACTTTCATGTTCCATCTTTCAGGTCTTGGTATCAACAATCGGGTCCTTGGGCACTACCTATGACCATCAAGGGATCAATTCACTCCTTTAGAACTTGATTTTCTTATAACCATTAGCTGCTGCAAGATCTTGAACTTGATTCTGTTGTTTCAAGGTTCTACAACATTTTTGCTACCTATAAGAATTTAGGTTTCAATAATGATTGAGACGCAACTATAGGACAATGACACCATAAAATAATACTTCTGATTCACAACAGCTACAAATCTTGTTGTGAACACGATGTTAAATGTAAAGAAAAACTCAGTTAAATGTCACATTCTGTTCTATGAACTTCAAACATTTATGTCCAAAAGTCTTGTGTTGCAGTCACCTATATCTTCATTCCATCACCATTTTACCTATATAAACAACTTTAATCTTTGTTCTCCTACTGGAATTGGATGCTTAAGCTGGGAGTCAATCAATTATTTAGCTAAAAAAAATTCTATTAACATGTTTTCTTCTTGCCCAAGCAATTATCTTCATGTTAAACTCTCATTTGAGGTATTAAAACATCAACCCTTCACATGAATAGACCTTCTTAGAATTCACATTAATTTTATGCTCTCAACTCATATATTCGATGCTACATAACCTACTATTCTGGACGGGTCCAAGGATGTAATCATTTCATTTATTCCTATTTTTATATCATTCTTACCATTTCTCTGCAACCATACAGAGCAGAATGTCTTTAAATACAAAGATACATGCTTTTAACAACCTTATTGATCATGGCAGCTTATGCATGGTTAAAATGTGAGAGAAAAGATGATAAAGATTGCTATGCAGTTCTCAAGGCAGCTAAAATCATTGGTCGTCAAGGAAATAAGTTTGGTTCAGAAGACCACTATGTTCGACTCAGCCTGGTCCGAAGCCATGATGATTTCAATATATTGATAGATCGTTTAAACAAATTAGTCTCAGAGGAAGATGGTGCCAAAACTATGTGAAGAATGAGATCAACATTTATTGATCAAAAGCTTCCAACACTTCTGTAATTGCTTGCATTACAGAAATATGAATAGGGAGAGGTCATGCCGTCCATTGACCTTCTTTATCAGTGTTAAGAGAGGAAGGTCATGTCAATTGACCTTTTAGACTTGTATTCTTTAGAGATTGGTCATGTCTATTGACCTTATATATATATATATATATATATATATATATATATATGTGTGTGTGTGTGTGTGTGTGTGTGTGTATGTGTGTATGAACTCCAAAACTAATAATAGTGATCGATTTAAATATTCTTATAAAATTTTAAATTAATGAATTTATTTTTAAATATATAACTTTCATTAATTTATTTAAATTTAATTTAAATCAAATATAATAAAAATAAAGTTTATCAGAAGTAAAACTACTTAAAATTTTAATTTTAAGTGCTAACAGTAATTGACTAAAACATTTTGAGTAACTTTTTTTATAAAGTTTAATTTTAAATGAATTTTTTATTATCAGATATATATTTTTTATAATTAGATTAAAAAAGTATTAAAAGTGATTGATTAAACCCTTAATAAAATTTTAATTTCAAAAATATTAAAAGTGATTGATTAAAATATTATTTGTAATTTTTTTATAAATTTTAATTTAAATGATTTTATTTTTATTATTAAACTCTTTTTCATAAGTAAAATGATTTTTCATATGCAATGAAAAAACAAATAGAACGATATAAAAGCTTAAAGTGTACAGGAATAAAACAATTATATGAAGTTTATTTCTTTAATTGTTGTAAAAATAATTGTATATGCAATTTATGTTGATAAATAAATTTATTAAAAATGATCATAATTAAGTCATTTAAGCATATTTGTTTTTTTTCTCTATTTTTTTCTTTTCAAATTTTTTTGTTTTAATATATTAACTTTATATGTATGATAATGATTTTATTATTTATATATTTTATGAGTTAATCATTTGATCATTGATACATAATTAAATCTTTTTAGTCATTGAAGTAATTTTTTAATATATCATTCTTACATTTTAGTAAGACATTTAGAATTAATTTCTTTTTTTTATTTTTTTAAATTTTATAATTGTTATGCCCATGAACAAAACTAATATCAAACTAAATGCAAATCAATTGCACCTCCTTCACCCACAATTAGCACTATATGATTCATTGAACATTTTAATTAGACTTTTTACTTGTGGAAATAGATAATTCAAGAGATGATGAAGCCATTAGTAAGTGAAGATTGGTTCCCATCAAATTATCATAAGAATTGTCTACCTTTATTGAAACAATAATTGATTTAATTTTCTCTAAAATTTTATCTTAATATGCTTATATATGATTAATTTATATCTCAAGATTATTTAATCTTTCTGTATTATATTAAATTGTTTGCTTTTTTTTTTTGTCATTCAAGTGGTTGAACAACCTAACGTGAATTATTTTAAGTAAAAAATTATCAAGTGAAGTAAAATTATTATTTTTAGTGAATTCTTATAATGTACAACAAAATTCATTGGAACTATCTTTTGAATATTTTTATGCAAAAATTACATTCATTCATGAAAATTTATTTGTTAATGTTGAAAATGAAACCATAAATAAATTGTATAAATATTGCATAACAAGTTTGTTAGTCACAGAATTGAAATTTTCTTAATAAAACATAACAAGTACCAAGATTAAGAATTTATTTTATTTTTTTTAAAATTATGTATTTTAGTATTTTTTATATAATAAAAATTTATGTATAATAAAAATTTTTAAATAAAAGAAAAATTAAGCTTTCAATTGATAGAATGTATAATTACATTCAATTGATGGAAACATCAATGGAAAATTATCGTAAATAGAAAAATGACAGGGAAGATTAATTGGTTATATTTAACTTCATCTTTTCCATATGATAAAGAAGGTTAGTGTTATATGATGTTTAATGATAGATATACAAATATATTGGTTTCAAATTTATTTAGGATTAATATGAAACTCTTTTATTTGGAAAAAAACATTGTATAATCTTTCATTTTCTCCCTTATGTCAATTGAAAAATATTTATTGTTGTATCAAAATTTTTAAAATTGTAATATTAGGTAATATTTGTTCAAAAGAATTGAAATTCACCGAATTAATTATCACTATTACATTTAATATAAAAATATTATTATAAATTATAATTTAACTAAACCTAAAAGTGATTTAAAAGCATTCATCAATAAAATTCATTTGATAAATCTTTGTTTAATTGTGTATTTAGTATTTTAATCATTTTAAATTTTCATAATTTTGAGTTGGATTTTGACTTAGGATCAGCGATCAATTAAGTTGAATCAAGTTTTATCATTTATTTTTATTCATATTATACTTAATTATTCACTTTTGCAACTGAGTAAATTTGACTCAATAATTAGTATATTTTTTTATTTAAAAAACTATATTTAAATTGTCCTAAATCCAAATAAAAAAGTATATTCAATTACTTATAATTATAATTTCATTTTAGAAATACTTTTAAAATTAATTAATTAATTCAACTACAAAGACAATAAAAATAAGACATTGAAAATTAAGGGGAAAACAAACCAAATAAGGAACTTTAAATTGTTACAGAAAATGAATAAGAAAAATTAGATTTTGATGGGTTACTATTTCACTTCATATTTTGGTTATATTCAATCATTCCAGGTTTTAAATAACTACTAAGTTGTCGACTTTTAAAATCAATTGAAATTGAGTTAAGTTAATTCATTTTTATAATTATGTATATTATTTTATTTTTAATTAAATTAAAATTTAAAATGAGTAAAAATTTTATTTATGCTTAATTTGAATTTTGAATTGTTTCAAGTTTGAATTAATTAATCCATATTATTTTAACTATACTTTTATTACATCAATATAAAATTTTAAAACAGAATGAGAATACAATACAATGAAAATTTAAGTGCAAAAATATAGAGATACTAATAATAATTAAAGAAGAAAATCCTCATGTCCAAGTCTTACAAAGATTAAAGGATAAATCTTTTTTTGAGGATTTTGAAATTCATATTACAGAAATGTTAATTTAGATCAACGAATTTATAATCATTTCTTTATTGATTAAGTTGTTGTATGGGTTGAGGGAAACAATTCAAACATTTCATTTGAAAGAGATATCATGGATCAATTTCATTTAAGAAGACAACATAGAGTTAAACATTATTTAAGTTATTATAACCTTTTTAATATTATTTATTCTTTGCAACGGAGAAGTTGATTGACACCAAAATATATATAAAAAAAAGTCATTTTGAATTATAGTAACAACAATAAAGCAATAATTAAAAATATATCATATTTTTGTTTAGTAGAAGAAAATTTTTATGCAAAATGAAAAGGTAATTATTGTGAATTTAATATATATATATTTTAAAATTGTGGTTTGTTTAATTTTTATAGATTTTATTTAGTAAATTTGTTCTCATTACTTTTATCATATATATAACAAAATTTTTACCCAAAATTATATACTTAAAGATAAAAATATAAGGCAAAATTTATTACTTCCATTGGTGACAAAATATTTCAAAATTTTTAATCTTTTATATACAATTGTACTTTGCTAACAAGTATAAAAATATATATACTAATAATTCAATCAAATTATTAATAAAACTTATCTTAATATGCATTATTTGATCATGAACAAAAAAATTTGACGAACATCTTAGAAATGTTAACTTAATGTATATTATATATATTTGTTTAATTTAGTTTTAATACTTGCATTAGTATAAAAAGTTATGATTTTAATTTATTATTATGTTAAACTACTAATAATAAATTAAAAACATTTACTCATGTGTTTCAAATTATTTACACTTGAACTTTTTCTTCCTTTTTTCTTTATCTTATTAATTACATCATCTAACATACATTGTGAATGTGATTATTTTCTTTTTGGATATATATAAATCAGTGATAACATAGTAATAAATAATTAATATCTTAGTAATTAATCATTAAAAACTTAAATGAAATTAGTATAATTTAGTAGTAATTATCGATAACTTAATAGTAAATTAATAATAACTTAATAATGAATGATAATTTAGTAGTTAATAATTGATAACTTTTTAGTGAATCAATATTAATACAATAATAAATGCATAATACTTTAATGGTAAATCAATTATAATATAATTATAAAGATATATAAGTATAGTACTAAATTAAGAATAACTTAACAAAAAATAACTGATAACTTAATAATTAACTATTGATCACTTAATAATAAATCAATGATAATTTAATAGTAAATTAGTTTCAATTTAATAGTAATTAATTAATAGTAATTATTAATTGCAAACTTAAAAGTAAATTAGTATAACTTAATAGTAAATCATTGATAATATAATAGTTAATCAATGATAACTTAATAGTAAATCATGCATAATTTAATATAAAATAGTAATAATTTGATGGTAAATTATAAATAATTTAGTGATAAATCAATAATAATTTTGTGATAAATAATTAAAAATTAAATAGTAAATCAATGATAACATAATATTAATTATATAAAAATATAACAGTAAATGATTGATAATTTAGTAATAAAATTGATAACTTAGTTGTAAATAGTCAATAACGTAATAATAAATTATTAATAATTTAGTTGTAAATAAGTGATAATTTAGTAATAAATTGATAATTTCGTAGTAAATCACTAATAACATAATATTAAATTACTAATAA